AAAAAGCTTATTCACCAAAAGCAGACTGAAATAGTTGGTTTCATAGTACTGTAGCTTTTAGAAAAAAGCAATACAATGAGCATTTAGCTTGGATRAAATAGAGGATATTACATGGGCGTGCGGAGATACGGATTTTATCTTCGAGTGCATTGAAAACATTTCTCACAAGTTAACGTAGTGAAAATATACCTTTTTTCTTACTTCCACTATRTCAAGAAACTGTGAATGTGTTATTTTYACTATTTAAAATAACAACTTTACGAAATGGAGAAATATAGGTATTTTTTARATRATTATATGATAAAAAGATGYATTATCAGTACTGAAGTACTTTGTGGTSGAATCCTAAGAACAATGATACCATTTTCCTCCAATAGGAGAGTAGAAATGAGCGTGTTGACAGCTGGAGAAACTTCAACTCTGACAAGAAGTCCAAGAAAAAGAAAGTTAAAGCAAGAAAGGAGTTTCGACCTCCATCCCTGAAACCAGAGAAGCGCTGACACTTTTTTTAACTCATATTTCTTGTACAAGAAAATCTGACATCCGTTCTGTCCCAGACCGAAATATCACAAGAAGACCTGTCTATAACAAGAACATTTTCCATTGGAAAATCACAAAGTTAATTTATAAATAACTTTGCTTTTCAAATGACCTTCATTATTGTACCTAGACCCAGTACTCAAACAATATTTTTAGCTGATAGCGTAGGTTTAGGTTGTGTTTTTGAGTGAGCTTCAAGGGAGTGGTCATTATGAGTCAAGGGAATGGTCATTATGAGTCAAGGGAATGGTCATTATGAGTCAAGGGAATGGTCATTATGAGTCAAGGGAATGGTCATTATGAGTCAAGGGAATGGTCATTATGAGTCAAGGGAATGGTCATTATGAGTCAAGGGAATGGTCATTATGAGTCAAGGGAATGGTCATTATGAGTCAAGGGAATGGTCATTATGAGTCAAGGGAATGGTCATTATGAGTCAAGGGAATGGTCATTATGAGTCAAGG